TTGTCCTAAATAAATCCCCTCGTTTTATATCGTTGATCCCTTGATTGCCATTCTCTCGAAAATAATGCTCATCCCTTTATTAAATTTTCTGAAGTTGCACATTTTGAATCCAATATAGTTTTGACATTCACCGTCAGCACTAACTCATATTATTCTAGAACCCGCAATGTTTTCTCTCGGCGTCATTCTTTTTTTATTTTTTGCTGATTGACACGCTTTATTTCGAATGCTAATTGGTGCATATAGGTGACGAAAAATAAAAGGAGTTGTCCCGCGGGTGAGAAAGTGTCATGGCGGCGTCGTCGTCATGGACGCTGCTGATGCTGGTGACGCTCTGTGCAACGACGCTGCCATTTTGGCCCCTGGTCGACTCTGCTGCCGTGAGTGCCACAATAATATAACCGCAAGCAGCGACAAAAAAGCATTTAAAGTGAATCCTAAATCATCGTCTCATTATTTGAAATCTCAAGCATTATCTTTGTAGATTCCAGGAGGCAATACAGTATTTTAAATTTCAAAGTGACTTCATTAAATCGGGATGATACGATATAGTATGCGTAACCATGATGCTGCAGATCGATGCAGGCGACATCTAGATACAAAAGTAGGTAAAAACTCGGCGTTTTAAACATCCGACGCTTGATGTCGACAGCTGGCATATGGAAGAATTGAAGTTCTCTCTCGGTACTTGCTTTGGATTCCTTGTTGATGTTGATCAAGGGATGATTTCCATCAATAACCCTCGTGTTTTTTTTCAATTGTTATTTTTGTGTCTTTAAAAAATAAAAGCTGTAATGATATAGCTTAAGTCATATTCACGGTCTGTTTTGTTTTTATTGATTGCGCTTGTGCGTTTGAAAACTGGGATACATGCAGCACATAAATTACGTTTGTCTTTTTTTTATATTTTTGGCAGACGTGTCGTGGATGCAAGCCGCCGTGTCTGTGCGCAGGGAACCCTGGCCCACGAGGAGTGCCTGGCTGGCCCGGTCTGCCCGGCCCTCAGGGCGTACCCGGCGACATGGGGGTCGAGGGGTTGCAGGGCATGAGAGGACCCAGGGGTGACTTCGGCTCCTCTGGACTCGAGGGCGAGAAGGGCTACAGGGTCAGGGGTTCCATCTTTGTTGCCTAATTATTCCTAATACTATCGTGAAATGATCATCTATTTTTTGAATTTTTTTTTGTGGAAAAAACCCGAAAATATATTTCAACAATTTTTTTTCTCCTTGCAGGGAGAAACTGGAGTGCCTGGGTTCAAGGGAACGTCTGGCATACCTGTGAGTATATGAGTAGTTAGTATAGGAGTACAGTAGTGTAGTTTGAGTGCCCTTTAAATGGTTCCGAATCACTTGAAGAAATCATTCAAATCTAGAAAATTTTCCGCTCTTTTCTACATGGTGTAGTGTCAATAATAAGAAATTCCCCCCAAAAATATATTGAAGAATCGAATCATCGTGACTGAAGAATCTTTAAAGGCTCGTCATTTCTTGTGTAAATTTTCCATTGAATTCTTCAATAAGAGGATTCAAAGAATTTTTTTGTTTTGGTAAATGTTGGAAAATAGATTTTTCAGATTGCTTTGGTGCAAGTAATTCTGCTGATCTAAATTTTTAGTAGGAGATTTTGAAGTCTTCTAAAACGGTTTAATGTAGGAAAGTCATGAACAAAGAACAGACTCGAATAAAATCAATTTACTTTAATTTATTCATTTTACTCAAAGAAACCAAATTCCATTTTAATCTCATCAGGGTCAACCAGGGCTTGAGGGCCCCGTGGGTCCATCAGGGATCCCTGGCTGCAATGGCACGGATGGACAAAGAGGCAGGCCCGGGCCACCGGGGACAGAGGGGCCCAGAGGCAGACCAGGGGGACCTGGCCCACTCGGGCCAGTAGGTGACCCCGGAGACGGAGGAGTCAACACTGTGGGCTTCAAAGGGGACAGAGGCGACTCTGGGATTCAAGGCAGACCTGTGAGAGAAATACACATTTTGAATATGAATCATTATTTGTAAATTTGAAGCTGTTTTCTTTTTTTTCAGGGTGTTATTGGTTATCCTGGATTGCCTGGATTCAAAGGATTCGAGGGGGACCCAGGTCCAAGAGTATGAAACAACCTTTGCCAATAACAAAATGAATTGATCCTTATTTCAGATGTGTGTGCCCGTTTGTTTCATGAATTCTACAGGGACCCCTGGGACCAGTTGGCCCACCTGGCCTAAGAGGAGACCCCGGAGAAGGCAAAAGTGGGGACACAGGCCCCAGGGGCGACCCAGGTGACCCAGGGGAAAGAGGACCCCCTGGCCCAGTGCTGCCTTCAAAGATTCCTTCAACAATCACAGTCAGGAAAGGAAACAAGGGTATCAAGGGGTTGCCTGGGGACCTTGGGTCAGTTGGCCCACTTGGCCCAACTGGGAATTCTGGCAAGCCTGTGAGTATATACTGCTGTCTTATTGACTAACTAACATGAAATTATAAACATTCAAGTAAAATGGACAAGATACCGTATTTACTCAAGTACCACGCGCACCTTTTTTCTCAAATTTCAGAAGAAAAAAAGGGGTGTGCATCATAAGCAGGTACAAGATTTTCAAGAAGTTTTAGGAAGTTATGTATGCATTATACTTGATTATAATGGACAAATTTTGGAATGAATATAACAAGAAAAAATTTTTGTGTTGAAAAAGTTGAAAATTGATCCAATTTTTGTTCCATTCACGCCAAAAGTCAAATTTTTTGTTTTAATTTTTGAAATTTTATTGTTTTAGATTCACTAAAAATTGGGGTGCACGTCTTACTTAGGGATAAGATTTTTGCAACATTTTCAACTGAAAAACCCCTGTGCATGCCTTACTGGAGGGCAAGTGGTACTTGAGTAAATATGGTATACAGTTCATGACAGTCTTTGTTAGTCAAACAACAAATAAAATTATAACATCCTGAAAGGAAGTCTTGCTAAATGCATGCAAGTCTTCCAGAGAAGAAAAAACTGTGATAGACCCTAGATTAATTCTGAGAAACATCCAAGAGTGTAGGTAATATTTATACCTTCAAGGAAGCAAGACCACCCAAGATTCCTGAAGCAATCATAAGTTCTGCAGGACTCAAGAAAAAACGCATTAACAGATTATAATATATGTGACACAATTATACACAGGGTGACATTCTGCATGAAATCCTTATTTCAGAGGAGTGGCAATGCAAAAAACCATCATTCACTATCAGAAGAGAGAGATATATATACTCAGTACATATATATCTAAGGAATATTTCCCGTTCTTAACATGGGGTGACGTGAGAAGCAAAAAATCAAAACAAGGAAACAGCTGCATGGGACAAAACCTTGTCCTTTTACTTCAAGATAAAAATTAATCTAGAAAGAGAGGTCCTTGAAACAAACTGTAAATATTTACAGGATAACAGGATACAGTACTTGATTTTATTCCTTTATTTAAAAAAAAAAGTACCATCAAAATGTTGTGTCAATAGCAATAACGCTGTTGTCCATCCCTTTGTTCTTTTTTTTAGGGTCCAGCAGGGGCTCGTGGGTTGCAGGGCGAGAAGGGGATCCCAGGCAGTGATGGCCCCAGAGGCAAACTGGGCAAAGACGGGCCACCTGGCCCCATGGGTGAAAAGGGCCAGAAGGGAGCCCCGGGATTCGCAGGTCGAGATGGCAGAACGGGCATCAAGGGGGAACCTGGGGAGCCCGGCTGGCCCGGACGTCCTGGCCCTCAGGGCACCATGGGCCAGCCCGGAGAATACGACCCAACCTTGACCGAACTCATTCCGGGCTCTCAGGGTCCACAGGGTCCTGATGGCTTCGAGGGACTCAGAGGGGCACCAGGGTTGGATGGGTTCCCTGGAGGCATGGGTCCTCCTGGCTCACCGGGCTTCCCTGGCCCAGTTGGCCCGCCGGGCAGCCCGGGATTCCCTGGCTCATCTGAAAAGGGAGAAAGTGGAGACAGAGGTGAGATCCAGCAAAGTTCCCTTGTACAACTGTAGCTAAAAAAAAATTGGTTAAGAAAGTGAAATGACTTTTTGACAACATTTTTTAAATTTAACTTTTTTTATGAACAGGATACCCAGGGCCATCAGGTCCTCTTGGCCCACCTGGCCTGTCTGGACTCATAGGATATGTTGGACCCAAGGGCATGAGGGGATTGACAATTTTCGGTGAGTATAGATACTGTGTTTGGATCCCAATATTTTGAAAATTTGATTTCCATCAAACATATTTTTTCAAGAGAGCACACACACTCACTTTTAGAGGCTAATATGCAATGCGTTGCTGAAAATTGACAAAGAGGCATTCGAATTAAATGCTTATGAGTCATTTCTCAATGCGTTTTCTTGAATGGGTGATTTTTTGCATGGTGAGCAATAGTTCCTGAATTAATGATTAAAATAAATTAGAAATTGCCAGAAAGATGTTTCATGGCCAGTCCAGCAAGTGTGATTATTGTACTTTATTTGATCTTGTTGATTGTATTTGGGAAATAAAGCTCTTTTATATATATATGAACCCTTTTTTGGAGCACAATTTATGAGGAGAATGCGATATGCTGGCCAGAACTCAAAGTTGTGCTGGAGAACCAATAAATCATAAGCAGAACAGAAGGAGGTCTTGGCATGCATGTATTACTCGAAAAAAATCTATATTATCTTATTATGGCACATGATTACTGTATTTTGTTTTTCACCAGGGCCAAAGGGTTTGGATGGACGCCCAGGCAGGGATGGAAATGACGGCTTTCCTGGTCCCAGAGGATTCCCAGGAGACGTTGGTGTGTTTCTTTTGTTGGTTTCATTGAATGATGGATTCCTTTTTTGTTTTGTTGATCGGCATTTGATTATCAATTTTTTTATTAATTTTAATTTTTCTGTTTCGCCCGCAGGTGAGGTTGGAGAAGCAGGACCGAGTCAGCAGTCGATCCAAGGGCCACCGGGACAGAGTGGCCTGAGAGGCAGCCCTGGCCCAGTGGGCGACAGAGGCCAGGATGGGACAGATGGGTTCCCTGGGCCCAAGGGGGCCACGGGGAACGACTGCGACTTTTGCCCTGATGGTCAGCAGCTATTTATAGACTTTAAAAATCATCCAAACAAAACAACAACAAAAACAATACAGCACCAAACTTAATACAGTAATATTTTTTACAAATTTTTAAATTATTTCTTCTGCCAAATAACTAATTTCTATCACCTGGTAATTTTAAACCAATTATTCCTTCTCCGAAAAAAAGAGAATAATGTTCAAAGAAATTATTTGACTACATTAAAATATCGATAAGAAATAGGTTAGAGTGGAAAAAAAGCTCAAAAGAAGGAAAGAAAAAAGAGAAATTATTCAGATGCAATTATTCCTCATTGATTAAAACTTTTTTTTTTCGTTTTTTATTCCTGACAAAAGGTGAAGTGGGACAAAAAGGCAGCCCGGGAGAATCGGGTTTGCCAGGATACCCGGGCCCGCCAGGGTTCTCCGGCTACCCGGGCCAAGCGGGTCGTCCAGGCCTCCCTGGGAGACCCGGGTTGCCGGGTTTCGACGGGATCCCGGGGATCCCAGGTGCAGCTGGGTTAGCTGGCCCAGAGGGGGAACCCGGAGACCGTGGGGACGTCGTCTTCCTCAATGACGATGGGTCTTCGCTGGTTGGGCCACCCGGGTTTTCCGGAGACCCCGGCGACCCCGGGTTGCTCATGGGTCTGCCTGGCACCCGTGGGCCAGAGGGTAAACCCGGGAGGGATGGGATCCCGGGGTCCCCGGGTTTCAAGGGCGATGCTGGGGAAGCTGGACTTCCTGGGCCACCAGGTATTAACAGTAGATATTGTACTGTACATATACGTACAGTATATTAAAACAGATGGACTCTCTCTCTTTATACAACTCAGAAAATCTCTCTGTTCATAAAACCAATTTTTTTCTTTTCCCTACAACGAATCATTTCTATTTTTTTTAATTTCATTGTAGAGAGTTCATCTGTATTTATACTGTGTTCACCACTTGTTTTTTTTATACTTGAAACTAAAAAAATGAATACAGCACAAGTCCTGATTGAGTTAAACATCATCAAGTTGAAAGTTTTAAAAATCAAAATAATCCCCAAATATGCGACATTCTTTTCAGGCCCTGCCTGAATTTTCTTATTAAGAACAATGTATTATCTCTACTTGAAACCCAAATTTTATTCTTTGGAAAAAAATGAGGAATTACAGATTGAAGTTCATCAGTTATAATAACAGCTCTCTTTAAAGGCAAAAAAACATGTCGCTTCCCGCATTTAAAAATTATGTAGGTGATCATTTATTTATTATAAATTCGTTGCTTTTCCTCTAGGATAATTGTATATTTTTTATTCAAGTTTTACTGACAAAACTTTAAATAAAATTTAAAGATGAAGGCAGAGTCCTGCATTATTATTTACTGATACTGTGCCATATTTCCGGGATGCGGGAAACCCAAGAATTTTCTCAAATATTGACTGCTATAGATGCATTTACTATATACGTATTTCTGCAAACAGTATTTAATTGAATTTTGCTGGAATAATATGCAGGTTTGGTTGGGATGGCCGGCACACCGGGTTTCAGGGGCCAGGATGCCCCCTCGGACCCGTTCACCCTGCAGCAATACAAGGGTCAACCCGGTGACGACGGGTTGCGTGGGTTGCGAGGTTTGCCGGGTTCAGCAGGCGAGAAGGGCGAACCCGGGGACAAGCTGGACTTTGTTATTCACAGCGGCGACTATGGAGACCCCGGAAATCCGGGTCCCATGGGTGAGAGACCCAAAATAATTAGTCCTCCTCTGTCAATTTCCGCATATTTTCTTACACTCTTTGTTAAAAATAAATTCAAAGTAATCATCATCTGAAGAATGATTCAGGAGAGAAGTTGAAAGACTGCATTTCTTTCTTTCTTTTTTGAAAGAAAAAGGTTGCAGATAAATATTGGGATTCTTATAGGATAATAAAGTCAATCTGATTTTGAAGCAAATTGCATGATTGCAATGCTTTTTGCAGGATTCACGGGATGTAAATAATGTTTATCGCAGTTTAATTTCTGCCAGGCGCTTTAAAAAATTCAATTTGTTTTGAGTAACAACAATTTTTTTTCATTTTATCGAAAATATATCGAGTCTTCGCATTGTTTATAGAACAATAAAAGGTCAATAAATTGCAGAAGAGGAATGAATATCGACGCTTTAAAATATTCTATGGTCAGTCTTGAATGATAGCTGAGTTTGATTTGACTACTGCAATATGCTTGGCATTTCAAGAGCTTCTGAAGTATTCTTTATTTTTTTTTAATTTTCTTATGGAAGTATTGTAGTTATTGAATGTTCACATTTATTCAGATGCAAGAATATAATATCTAAAGATGCGTATGCTTTTTCTTGTTTTCTTTCTTTTTTCTTCACAGGGTATCTTGGCCAGAAAGGCGCACCTGGGGATGCAGGGGAAGTCGGGTACCCCGGGATGAAAGGAGAGACTGGGATCTCTGGGATCTCTTTCCCAGGACCCAAGGGTCTCAAGGGTTACAGAGGGATCCCTGGAAATCCTGGGTTCAATGGACCAAAGGGACCTAAGGGTGTTGATGGGCCAGATGGATCCCTGGTGAAATAAAAAAAATTGATTTTAATGAATTTAATTGTGTAATTACAATTTTTTTTAATACAGGGGATTGATGGTCCAAAGGGAGATTACGGGGATCCTGGATATGCGTACTTGCCGGGACCCATGGGCATTTCTGGGTTAGATGGAGACAAGGGACATGTGGGGCTACCTGGGCCACCTGGCTGGCCCGGCATTGCAGGCATTGCTGGCCCAACGGGATCCAAGGGATCCAAGGGTGCCCCTGGGCTTGCTGGTGAATCCGGCATCAAGGTGATGTCATTTTTTCTGTCCTTGAATGCGTTTTTTTTATTAAATTTAATTGGCACACTGTTCCATTATTTATTTTATTTTTTATACTCACGAAAAGGGCATATTTTTTAAATACGCGCATGACAAATTAAAATTATTGCTTTTTTGCTGGATTTCAAATTACCAGAAGCATTAAAAATTTATATGACACATGATTTTGATTTTATGATGCACTTCCAAGAACTTTTAAAATTAAATTTGCAACATGCTAGATAATTTACAGTAATATATACAGTATACAGTATTCATTTTGAGTCTTCAGCAAAAGTCAGAAAAGCGCTACTTTTTCATGTATTTTCAAGTCTGAATATTTTTACACCAGTCAAGTGTATAACTTCATTGTCAAAATACATATTTTTTTCAAGTCAGTGAGGAATGAAAAATAAGATTTCAGTTTTAATTTTTCCTTGTGCAGGTTTGCCTCTGAATAAGATGCACGACAAATACTTTTCTTTTGAGATATTTGGATCACCGTGTATAGGAAATTATTTTTGAATTCATTTTAAAACAATTATAGTGACAGTTGGCAAGAAACATTTCTTAAATGTTTTAAACGTCTTTTCTTTTCATTCACCCTCCGCGCCGATCGTATATTCCTATATATGCACGACAGGGATTGAAAGGAGACGAGGGCCCAGTTCGTCCGGGTCCACCTGGCCCACCTGGCCCGCCTGGCCCCACGGGTTATCCCGGGATATTCGGAGACTACGGATTCGTGGGATTACCGGGTGTGTTTGGCAGGAAGGGCATGAAGGGGTTGTTGGGAGACTTTGGACCGCCGGGTTCCCGAGGCATGGATGGACACCCGGGTTCCATGGGCATCCCAGGCATGTTTGGCAGACAGGGTTACATCGGCAAGAAGGGCGACCGCGGAGACTTTGGTTTGGCAGGACTGCCAGGTACGGTATTTGGATAAATACAGATTTCATTTTCAATCTTTCCTTTGGTTTCTATCTTCATCCCGTCTTTCTTTAATAATTATTTTTTTACTGGAGTGTTGTTATTACTGTACTCCTTTTTTTTATTATGAAGGCAACTATATTTTCTAGAAAGGGTTTTTGGCAAATGGTGGACAGACACCTACTGTGAGCCTCATGAAACTATGCTGAATATTATAGAGATCTTTTGAAAATTTACAATTTTTTAAGCAATCAACTTGAGAATAATTCAGGAATAATTGTTGCCTTCATGGGTTAAAGTACTTTTGAATGTTTCACTCTTCTTGATATAAATTCATGATTGTTTTATTGGGTTTATTTTTTTTGAATTATGACAGGAGGGGAAGGGTTGCCAGGTCCTAGAGGTCACCCTGGGTTGCTGGGGATCAAGGGCAGCATGGGGCAACCTGGTTTACCAGGCACACCAGGAATCCCTGGGGGTCCCGGCTTTGAGGCAAGTACAGTATACTGTACACTGTTGTGTACAGTACAATACTGTATACCTTTTCTCTTAAACCCTGCTATGAGACTCATTGGTCATAAATGTATGATACAGTAGTTACATTTCAAGGTTTGTCAAAAACTCATCAAAATTTACAGGATTTTAAGATTACTGTATAGTATAATTGCTGTGAATCCCAGAAATTATTCTGCCTTTTAGTATCATGTTTGGGTTTCTTGGCATTTTAAACAAAATTTTAAACTAATTTTTCAGCATACTAATGATGAGAACGCAAGAAAAACACACAAGTAGCAGTGAATGAGATGATAGCATTTATGTTGCAGAGTGCTATCTTTTTTCCCAATAGAGGTCTTATGACAGGTAACCAGCAATTCAACCCTAATCTATCAGTGCTTGACTGGTGTCAAATTGCAAATAAAGCAATCAAATTTTGAGAAACTGTGCAACATTAAGAGCCAACAGCAAAAAACACTGGAAAAGGGGCTGAAGGAGACCAAATTTCAAGTCAACCTCCCGGCAAATATGACAGTAAATTGCAGGAGTTCAAATTGCAAGGTACCACCTGTATTCCATCAGTATCAATATCAATTCAATTTTTTCAACTGAAATGCTTTGGAAAAAAAATAAGCTTGGATCAAATTATTTTCTGGTGCAGGAAACTGCCCAGCAGGGCATGATGTTGGTAGGGAGCGACACCTAATACACCTTTTGTGTCAGTGCGTGATAACTGTTACAAGTAAATGCAGAGATGTCACTCTCACGTGTTCATAATTGACCTATAAATAATGTCGGGCTCGTATTACAAGTATAGTACAGTACTCCATTTAAAAATGCAGGGCATGCCAGGAGATGAGGGGCCGAAAGGAATGCTTGGAGATGCAGGAGAAGACGCAGTTTACGCTTATCGTGGAGACAGAGGAGACGTCGGACCCAAGGGAAGCATGGGAGACACCGGGTTCGAGGGGTTCCCTGGCCAAAAGGGAAGCTTGGGACAACCAGGGGAAGTCATCTTTGGACTTGTAGGATTGCCAGGTGCCCCCGGAGACATTGGACCCCCTGGCAACCCAGGGTTCAACGGATTCAAGGTTGAATACATACATATATTCAATGCTAAATATACCAGAATTGTCCCAGTGCTGGGACGCGGCCTCTAATATTTTTAAAGTAGGTGTGCTGCTTGTAAAAAAAACAACAACAAAACAGTTTCACATCCATCATGTTGGAAGTCTCTGGCATTTTTTTTAAACCCTTGTGCAGCAAAGTTGGGATAATTTTGCAAATTGTTTTGCCCATGACCCCTGACAATTTAAAAAAACATTGATTTTTGCACCAAGACCTACATTGAAAAAAATTCCAATATTTTTTCATAATCCTGCAGATGAAGAATTTGTTTCAAACATGAATGAAAAATTCCTTGCTGATGGGTGGCTTTTTTCAGGGATTCCTTGCACAGGATTAGTATTACAGATTTTGGAACACAAAAGGATTCACCCTTCCCAGATTTTTCCCAACTTAGGCCTTCCCAACCTCTGCACATTACAGTGACCTTCAGGCAAACTAAAATTAGCCCCCCCCCCCCCAAATCATGCCTTTGCTGCAGGATGGCCAGGAACCCTCTGACATCTAAAGTTTAACAATGCTTTTTCAAATATGTACTGCATGATGATGAGTGAAATTTTCCCAGTTGCAGCCAGAGTTATTTGCCCATGATACAGGGTGTTAAAACTGTGTCAGGTGAGCTAAAAAAAAAGGAAAATTTCTTCATGATTTACACATTGTCTTTTCTGCATTCTTGATGATGGTTGAAACAAAAACCATTTTCACATTTTCAGCCAGGCTGAAAAATTTAGCACCCTATGGCACACAGGTGAGAACTCTGCAAACTTGAAAATAATTGAAACACTTTTTCAAAAATCCCAGAACTTTTTTTACATTGTGGGGGCCTAATACATGATTTTTTTTTCTACAATCACACAAACTCTGAAGATATCAGAGGTCGTTTCCAACTGGGACAACCCTAATATTTATATATAGGATTGGTTAACACCATTTTGTTATTGACAGGGAATGTCTGGTGACCCTGGTCTTTATGGTTTGGCTGGCCCACCTGGAGAAATCGGTAGAGATGGGGAACCAGGACCACCTGGGGTTCCAGGACTGGA